ACCAAATACTCATGGGGCTTCCTAGCTGGCTCAGCGGGTAAAGAATCAGCCTGCAAAACAGGAGACTCTTGTTCAATCCCTGGGTCGGGAAGATCTCCTGGAGGAGGTCATGGCAACCCGCACCAGTATCGTTTCCTGGATAGAGTCCCATCGACAGAGGAGCCTGGTGCACTGTGGTCCATGAGGTTGCAAAGAGTTGGACACAACTAAAGTGACTGAGCACACACACACCAAATATCCATAAAGATTAGCTGAGGGAGGCAACTTCAAGGCATCCTTGAGCTGGTTCATGACAGTTCCGTTCAGTTCAGTTGCTCAGTTGTGTCTGACTCTTTGCAACCCCATGGACTGCAACATGCCAGGCCTCCGTGTCCATCACCAACTCCTGGAGCCAACCCAAACTCATGTCCATTGAGTCAGGGATGCCATCCAACCATCTCATCCTCTGTCATCCCCTTCTCCTCCTGCCTTCAATCCTTCCCAGCATCAGGGTCTTTTCAAATGAGTCAGTTCTTCACATCAGATGGCCAAAGTGTTGGAGTTTCAGCTTCAGCATCAGTCCTTCCAATGAACACCCAGGACTGATCTCCTTTAGGATGGACTGGATGGGTCTCCTTGCAGTCCAAGGGACTCCCAAGAGTCTTCTCCAACACACAGTTGGAGAAGCATCAAAAGCATCAACTCTTCAGTGCTCACCTTTCTTCATGGTCCAACTCTCACATTCATACATGACCACTGGAAAAACCATAGCTTTGACTAGACGAACTTTTATTGGCAAAGCAATGTCTCTGCTTTTTAATATGCTGTCTAGATGGGTCATAGCTTTTCTCCCAAGGAGTAAGCATCTTTTAATTTCATGGCTGCAGTCACCATCTGCAGTCATCTTGGAGCCTCAAAAAATAAAATCTGCCACCGTTTCCACTGTTTCCTCATCTATTTGCCATGAAGTGATGGGACTGGATGCCATGACCTTAGTTTTCTGAATGTTGAGCCAACTTTTTCACTCTTCTCTTTCATATTCATCAAGAGGCTCTTTAGGTCTTCTTCACTTCTGCCTAAGGGTGGTGTCATCTGCATATCTGAGGTTATTGATATTTCTCCCAGCAATCTTGATTCCAGCTTGTGCTTCATCCAGCCTGACATTTCACATGATGTACTCTGCATATAAGTTAAACAAGTAGGGTGACAACATACAGCCTTGATGTACTCCTTTTCCTATTTGGAACCAGTCTGTTGTTCTCAGATTTCTCAGGAGGCAGGTCAGGCGGTCTGGTATTCCCATCTCTTTCAAAACTTTCCAGAGTTTATTGAACTAGTTTATTGAAATAGAAAAACATCTATTTCTGCTTTATTGACTATGCCAAAGCCTTTTACTGTGTGGATCACAATAAACTGTGGAAAATTCTGGAAGAGATGAGTTCATGACAAAGACTAAGAGAAAGGGGCAGTAGAACTCAGACAAAGCGAGCAGGCCCGAGCAGGGACTGTCCACGAGGCTCCTTGTCTGCGGGCTCTGACCAGCAGAGAAGGGAAGTGCTGAGGACCGCTGTCAGAATTCCCCCTGACACCCCAAGTAGCTGCCCCTCACCGCTCAGCCAGTGCGTGGTGATGCACCAGAGTGTCTTTATTTCAGTGCGGGCTTGCCATCCCTTGACAAGCTCTAAACCAAAGGCCCCCAGAGGTGGTAGAAAAAGACAGCTACCCTACATGCTAACCTTAAACATGTCACCGTGGGCTTGCCCTCCCACTGGACAGGTAGAAGGAATCACCCAGAATGTGAGCATCATCTAGGTGTTCTGATTTACTCTGCTGGCCACACAGCTCATGGGATCTCGGTTCCCTGCCCAGGGATTGAACCTGGGCAGTGAACATGCCGAGTCCTTAGCACTGGACCACCAGGGAATTCCCTCCAGTTGTTTTTTTTTTAAAAATCCATTTTCTGGTCCAAAAAAGGTGAAGAAAGGACACAGACACAACTCCATGGCTGACCAGTTCATATTTCTCTTTTAGGCCTATTTTCTTTTTTTTTTTGGACTAATTCCTTTTTGAATTCAAAACTTTGAATAAAGTCTATGGGAAAAATGTGTCTGCAATTTCTGCCACAACCTTCTGATTCTCAACAACAAATGATTTTTCAAGTTGAAAACTTTTCAACTTGAAAAATCATCTCCTATTTCATGGCCTGAGCATTTCCAAATCTGGGTACAGGGCCCTGGTGAACCGAAAAGACACGGGTGCCTGGCACCACTCGGGACTCATCCTTTCTGCACCATCACCTAGACCAAGAGCTTGTTACAGCAATCCCCCAGATGCATTTATTAGAACCCCAAATTGCTGATAAGTATTGTATGAGAAAACAAGGGTTCTGTGAGCAAAGACGTTTATTGAAACGCAGAATTTAAAACATCTGTCTTCATTACAGGACTTCTTAGAGCTTTCAACGTGCAAACAGGCGAGTGAATCCCCAGTGAAAAGAGGGAATACTCAGTCATTTTCCTCCTCTTTGATGTTGGTGCCATTTTCATCTTGGGTAGAAAACCTGGAGGGATGAGAGTTTAAGGCAGACACTTTGGGAAACATTGTTCTACTAGGGATGTATCCTTACAATGCATAACTACTATATGTTCAGTGCTAATTATATTAATAATATTGCCAGAGCCTTTTCTTCCACACTATTTCAATATAATGATTCTTTTTATTACCACTGAAAAGGTGGGCATGTCACGCTATTATACAGTCTTCTTTAACACTTCTATGACTTATGCTGTATACAGCCTGTGGGCACTATCCTTAGCCAATTAAACCTACTTGTGAACTAAATATTGTATTATTTTGACTCTGTGCCATCGCCCACCCTTGAGTTTCAGCACTGCAAAAAATCAAAATCCAGAAATCAAGGTGCTTTGTAAAAGGAGCATCTATTTTAAAAAAAGAATCAGTTCTGGCTTAGGTGTAAAAAGTCAGTTCTGATCTAGGTGTCCAGCAAACTTCCTTTAGCACCAAGCAAAAGTGAAAACAAACAATACCCCCAAATACCAGACATAGAGATGGAGACCTCTCTTCTTCCTGAGGCTAGATTCCTGTTAGATTCCAAACCATATTGTAGTGGAAATCCAAAGATTCCTGGCTGCCTCACATTTCTGCTATGCACAGTATTTTTCTTATGTGACTGGAAGAATGCACTACGGCTGTGGTTGCTCGAGTGCCTTATCAAGATCATTCTTCCGAAAAGCTCGAGGAACATAAGGCAAGTCACCCGCAGAAGGTATAAGGATCAGCACTGTAATTTAATGTCCTCCCACAAAAAAGTCATAGAGCAGGCTGGAACTGCCAGGGGCGCAAACACACCATACATCTGTCTTGCAATTCATTTGCTTTTCTCCCTCTCCTGATACATTTAGAAAGAACTGCTCAGGCTGAGAGGCATAGAATGGAAACCCAAAATAAGTCAAATTCTTTTCTTTATATACTGTGATGGTCGTATTGATGAAACAGTCATAAAGACATTAACTGAAGTGATGATTCCGATCCATTTCACATTCCCAGTTTTACTCTTCTTCTAGATTATGTGTGCTTGTAGCCTACAGAATTCTAGTAAAAGAGGCCTTTTAAAAGCTAGTGAAAAAGAAGCCATGTTGGTTTTTCTTAAAGCACTTTCCAAATATTTTTACTATAAAACAAGTGAAGTAAGAGAGAAAAGTTTCTAAATTGCACAAGTCCACAGCTCCCCAAAAGTGCACTGAAAACTATGCAGAATAATTTTGATTAGGCTGGATGACTGTGCCAGGCTCCAAACAAGTGGTTATTCTGTTGTAACATCTGCCAAGCAATGCGTCCATTGTTCTCTGGAATTTAATTCATTTTAAATTACTCCATCCAAATGATAAAACATGAGATGTGCTACACTCCAGGGGTAAAATACAATGATTGTTTTTAGTGTGACCACAACTGTTAGCCGGGAAGCAAGACAGCCTGTTCTAATTAGGCCCTGATTATTGTCTTCTGGAAAAGCTAGTTTGAGAAATGTGAGTGAAATCCTGTTAAATGGAAGGATTGGCATACACAATCTTGCCTACTCTGGTGCGACTGCAGGACTGGAGTGCCACATGTGAAGTCTTCCCAAAAAACACAGCAATGGTTTTCAGAAGAGAAGTGATTTCAAAACCGGAAGATGCCTGGGATACCAACTTACTGTAGGACATACTTGCATCTGTGTTTGTGTGCACTTGGTCGCTCAGTCATCTCTGTCTCTTTGCAACCCCATGGACTGTAGCCCACCAGGTCCGTGGGGATTCTCCAGGCAAGGATACTGCAGCAGGTTGCCACGCCCTCCTCCAGGGAATCTTCCTGACCCAGGGATGGAACTCAGGTCTCCCGCACTGCAGGCGGATTCTTCTACATGTGTACCAGTATAAATTATCTTACTGATTCAGGACTACCGTGCAAATGCCTCCAAATCCAAAACATTATAACCGCCTGTCTCAAAAGCATCATAAAAGTTCTTAAGAGTCATATGTGGTGGGGAACATCTGGAAACATGAATGATTAGGCACTAATAAAAGAAAACAAGTTGACTCTCAGGAGAAAATACACACATACACACGTGTCAGAGTTTATGTCTCCCATCTGCCACATATTTAATATCAACTTTTGAAAACAAGTTCAGATGAAATAAAAATCAAAGTTCTCAAAAAGTGAAAGATTAACTTAACCATTAAATCTGCCCTATTGCCCCAAACATCAGCATGTATTTCACGTCTATGCAAAAGTATGCCTTCAAACTGCTTGAATGATATATGACACGCCAACCAGTCTTCAAATAACACCGCCAGTCATCTTGCAATTTTAAAAAATTAGGTAAAAGGTATTATAACACATTTCACACGCACACACACTCACATACACACACACATATACACATACCAATGACAACATTTGCCCTTTCCTAAAATAAGTACATGAAGACTCTTTAAGAGCAGCCAGGAAGGAACCTGCCCACGTCACCCCTCCCTACAATCCAGGTAGTTTCCTTTAATCCAGTAGCAAATCTGGGCATATTTGAGAGGGGTGATTCTAACAGCCACGTTGAAATCCTGTGGCGAACCATTCACGTCTACCCACTGGTGCCCAGAAAAGATGCCGATGATTTTCCGCTCCCACTTCTGCTGCTGTCTCTTCCACATTCTCACGTAGACCCCGGACCCGCTGGCGCCGGGCTGGGCATCGCACTGCTGGTAGAGCAGGTCGTAGGTCTCATCCTGGACGTCACAGAAGCGGTACACCAAGTTGCCGGGTCGGTCGTTGTCGTAACCCGAGAAGTGGATCCTGCCCCCTGGCAGCTGCTTGGCAGGCGGGCTCACCCCAATCTTCATGAACTTTCTCTTGTGGGGCTTTTTGAGCTCCAGGAGGGCATAGTCATAATCCATGCCGATGTCGTTGGCATTGCCCTTGATCCAACCCTTGGGCACGTGGGTGCGTTTCACCCGGATCCACTGGAATTTCATCTTCTCGGGCAGGGCTGAGTGCGAGTCGTTAGCCCCTCGACCACCGTCTTTAAACTTGGGCTTCAGGAAGCCCACCCGGAGCTTCTGGGTTCCTTTCACGTAGGTCTTGCCATCGTGGATGCAGTGGGCGGCTGTGAGCACGTGCTTCTCGGCCACCAGCGTGCCCGTGCAGCCCGTGGATAACTTCACGGAGGTCGAGAAGGGGTAGTTGAGCAGGAAGTCCTTCCCAAAGATGCTGAACCTGCTGTCATAGCCGTAGATCTGCCGCTTCGTCCGAGACTTCCCGGAAGACTGCCTCTCGCTGCTTCTGAGGACGTAGATGCCCACCTGTGTCTCGGTGCGGCTGCCGTTGGCATAGAGGGTCTCGTAGGACAGGTACTGCTTGGCTTCTTCGTAAGTGGGCAGCGGCGTTCCCTTATGACACTGGGGTCCACACGCGGAGGACACTTCCAGCTTGGCTTCGGCCCCGAAGTCCGGCTTGGCCAGGTTGAAGGTGGACTGGGGCAGGACCACGGGGAGGCGGTAGGCCGGCCACGTGGGCTTCCAGTGGGCGCTGGAGGGGCTCACCTGCCCGACAGCCCAGAGGAGGAGGAGGAAGATGGGGCACCCTGGAGTCCCCGCCATGCTGAGCACCACCCTGCAGGAACAAAGACAAGCGGTGAGGAGGGTGAGGGTCAGCGGAAGCCGTCCAGGAGCATGCCTGGCATCGTCTGGAGCTGTGAACCTTCTTCAGGAACTGCGGTGTGCAGAGGAATCCCTGGGAACGGTCTCACAATGCAAGGGCTTGACCTTGTTTCATCGTGGGGCTGGATGCCCAACGTGAAACTGGGTATTGGTTCCTCTTGGTGTTTCAGATGACCCTAAGGACGACCCGCAGAGGGCGGGTGCATGGGGCCATTAATTCCCAGATGAATTGCTTGACTGGCCCTGATAGCCATGTAATTTCGGGCCCTTCTCTGTGCTCAATTCTACACCTTTATCCTCTGCTACCCTCCTGGTCTCCCTGCCCTTCTTTCCTTTCTCCCTCCCTCTCAATCTCATTATAGCCTGTACTTGGAAACGCTCAGAGTAACTTGCTCATCTTCGGGGCAAATTCAAATTACAAAGTTTATTGAGTGACCAAGGCATCAAAGAGAGATGGCTCCACAGGGCCACACTTGATGGGACTCTCAGATTGCTTCTAAATGGTGAGTGATTCAGAAGAAAGCGTGGGACTTTTTTATTTTGTTTTGTTTTGAATTTAGAACAATCATAACCATTCTAAGTCTACTTCCAGAGTAGCCAGGCCTCTAGCAAAGGAAACACTCCCTCCTCCCTTGGATTTTATTGTGTAAGACCAGGGTGTTGGGCTTCCCTGGTCACTTAGTTGGTAAAGAATCTGCCCGCAATGCAGGAGACCCGGGTTCAATCTCTGGGTTAGGAAGATCCCCTGAAGAATGAAATGGCAACACGCTCCAGTATTCTTGCCTGGAGAATCCCTTGGACAGAGGAGCCTGGAAGGCTACAGTCCACAGGGTCACAAAGAATGGGACATGTCAGGGTCTTTGTCAAAGACTGAAAGCTTTAAATTTGCATCAAATAACCCATTGTGATTATTTCTGTTGGTTGCTTATTCAGGTCTGTGCATTTGTGTTCCCAGCTAGTCTAAAGGCCTTGAGATTGGGCCTATGCTAGCATTCCACAAAGGTTTATTCATGGAAGAGTAAATGAATAAATGAATTAATGTTAGTGTGGCTCAAAAAACACGTTTTTTGAATGCTGCACTATCAGTGCCAATAACATATACAGGAAGCTGTGGTACATATACACCATGGAATATTACTCAGCCATTAAAAAGAATTCATTTGAATCAGTTCTAATGAGATGGATGAAACTGGAGCCCATTATACAGAGCGAAGTAAGCCAGAAAGATAAAGACCATTACAGTATACTAACACATATATATGGAATTTAGAAAGATGGTAACAATAACCCTATATGCAAAACAGAAAAAGAGACTCAGATGTATAGAACAGACTTGTGGACTCTGGGAGAAGGCGAGGGTGGGATGTTTCAAGAGAACAGCATCGAAATATGTATATTATCTAGGGTGAAACAGATCACCAGCCCAGGTTGGGTGCATGAGACAAGTGCTCGGGCCTGGTGCACTGGGAAGACCCAGAGGGATCGGGTCGAGAGGGAGGTGGGAGGGGGGATCGGGATGGGGAATACATGTAAATCCATGGCTAATTCATTTCAATGTATGACAAAAACCACTGCAATGATGTAAAGTAATTAGCCTCCAACTAATAAAAATAAATGGAAAAAAAATTAATCATCATGGAGCTCTTTGATGTTCTCATCAAACCCATTGTCTCTGGACCATGACTGAATCTTCTTTCTACTTCCCTTCTTCCTCGGTGGGGGCACAAAAACAAAAACAAAAACAAAATATGATTGCTGGGGAAGAGAAAGGAAGCGATGAGATGGTATGATCTTCTATGTTATCATCAGCTTTTGACATTTTCCAGGGGCAAGAATAACACGACAGTAAAAATACGCTCATATTATCAACTGGAACATGCATTTTCAAATCCCAGATCTGAAACGTATATGTTAACTGGATCCTAGGAGTACCAGTTGCAAATTACTTACCGCAGCAGGACTGTTCCAGTGACACATGCCTTTAGCTCTACCCATTCATCCAAACACTGAAACCGTCCACTGGCAGGGGTGTCAGGGAAGACAATAGCAGGAAAAGAGTCTGAAACTACTTCAGATAAACCTTTACAAATCCATGCCGGAAGCTCGTCTTAATGAATTAACCCCCTCTCAGGCAAAATTGATCCCAACTTCACCTTTTCAAGCGCCTTGCCTGTATAGTAAACCCCTGTTTAAAAAATACTTCCGGAATTCCCTGGTGGCCCGGTGGTTAAGAATCTGCCTGCCAATGCTGGGGATGTGGGTTTCATCCCTGGTCTGGGAAGACTCCACAAGTGGAGAGGCTAAGTGAGCCACAACTATGAGCCTGTGCTCTAAGGGCCTGCAAGCCGCCAGCCACTGGGGCCTGAGCACTGAGAGCCTGTGCTCAGCAAAGGGAGAAGCACCTCAGCGAGAGTCTGCTGCTGGAGGAGACTCTTGAGCGTCCCTTGGATGGCAAGGAGATCCAGCCAGTCCATCCTAAAGGAGATCAGTCCTGGGTGTTCATTGGCAGGACTGATGCTGAAGCCGAAGCTCCAATACTTTGGCCACCTGATGCGAAGAGCCGACTCATTGGAAAAGACTCTGATGCTGGGAAAGACTGCAGGCAGGAGGAGAAGGGGACGACAGAGGATGAGGTGGTTGGATGGCATCACTGACTCGATGGACATGAGTCTGAGTAAACTCCGGGAGTTGGTGATGGACAGGGAGGCCTGGCGTGCTGCAGTCCATGGGGTCAAAAAGAGTTGGACACGACTGAGCGACTAAACAACCACCACAACAAGGAGAAGTCAGCCATATGTAAGTAAAACTGCTGAACCAACAGCGCTGAGTAAAGCTCTAATTCCTTAAAAATAAGCTTTTCAGTGACCTCAAAAGACTAATTCTATTAGTTTAAAATATCAGTTACAAGTTCCCTATATGATTTCAACTCTATTCATTTGTGTGGTAAGACCTTATTCCAAGAACTTTTTATATCTTCATTAAAGTTTCTATGTAACACTGAAAGCTACAAGTATTTTATTATTCTATTTCACTCCATTTCATTCTTTTGGCCACGCGGCAAGTGAGATCTTAGTTCCCTGACCAGGGATTGAACCTGTGCCCCCCTCATTGGAAGTGTGAACTCTTAACCACTGGACTGCAAGGGAAGTCCCCACAGAACTACATTTTAAAAGAAACTGATTCAGATTTAGAAATTAATGCAGGTCAAATTATTCCAAATTGATTTGGTTTTTAAATACATGATCAGAAGCTGGAAGATAAAGTGATGTGTTCTCAGGTCCCCACCTGGGTTTAAACTGACAACTGTATTAAAGTTACAAGCTTCATAAGTTGCTCACTCCCTTACCAAATGTGTGTTTAGGGTGGTTTAGAAATTGTTCTGAACAATGATCTCTTAGTCTTCTAGGTCTGGTTTTTCCAAGAGCTTCCCCACCCCCACCCCGCCAGGACCTTTTACTCAAAGAATTGTGGAAGGTGGAGGTACAAGGGGAAACGAAAAGGAACTTCTATCATGTTAGTCTCTAGCCTGTCTGGATGACAAGATTCCCCTTATCTGTTTGCAAAGGAAACAAAGGCCTCCAGCAGAGGGCAGCTTTCAAGAATGAGTGGAGGATGGCTAGGTGAGAAAGCTCTTAGAAAAGTTTGCAGCGGGGGTAACTGAGGGTGTGTGTGCACCGTGGTGTCGGGGGACAGATGACAAGCTACCTCCACTCAGGGCCCTTCCTAAGGCATTCACACCTTGCCCTGACCCCTTCCCTATTAATAAAACACTTTAAAATTAGCTTGGTGATTTTGCATTAATTTCTCAATTCACCTGATACTGGAATAATTCCACAGGAGACAGTTATTGTTTCCATTTTTATAAACTCTAGGTAAACCTTCACTATGCCCGTTTCATTTATTTAAACATAAACACTCTAAGATGAAAACATGCATAATCTCACTACTGGAAAGGTAACTCATAGGTACATAATTTTTAATTCTCTCCTGCCTTTACCAATGGCTCACTTTATCCTCGTAGAACTATCTGAAAAACTCACACCTTAAAAAGAATGAAGATTTCCAAATCTTATCCTTGTATCTAACTATGGATCAGGAAAATTCAGGTCTACATTTCATTTCTAGGACTAAGTCTTTACTGGATAAGGAGTCCTTAGATACAGAATTATCTTTGAACGTTCCCAACTAAGTATTTTCATGCATCACTTGACCTAAATGACAAAGCAGAATGGAAAATGAAGGTAAGCAAATATTTTCTGGCTGTGCTTAGTAATATGGAAACCGTATTCCTTTTCCAGCTCTGAATATCTGACTCACAAGAGGGTTACACTTTTCATGTTCCATCACTCACCATGAGCCACTGTCCTGCTGTCCACTGTCTAAAAATATTTAGACGTTATGAAGATGCTGCCACTTGGGAGTGCACTGATAACCTCACAGGGAGCTTGTGATCACAGTAATGCTGCCTGGAGGCTGTGGGCAGAGACTCTCCCAGTTCAGCACCTTGAAAACTGCAACAACACACGTCTCCTCCAGAGGGCAAATGTTCGGGAGCTGTGATATAACTCCTATAGCAAACAAGTGTTGGCAGGGAACATCTAATCCTCAGGGTATAAGTTCTCTGTTGTACAACATCTGAATTCCTGGGACCACTATAAACAGTAACGACAGAAAGAAAGAGCAGGCAAGTTTGTGAGGATAAAAACCCTGGATGCCATTCGGAAGGATGGCAGAGGGTTTTTCCATGGACTCTGGCCGGGGATACTGAACAGTGAAATCATGCTAATTCCTAAAGCAAATAGCTAAAAATGAACAAAGCTCTGGTAACACTCTGCACCCAGGTATGTTCTCCTTTTCCTGAGGTACTGAACCTGTTAAAGGGAAACAAACCTAATCACATAATGTTTTAAGAATTACAGTCTTGTACAGGAAAGAAACGCAGGGTATTTACAAGCCCAGCTACCCTAAACATAATCTTGTGGTCAAACGACATTTAACTTCTTCTCTATCAGATTTCAGGCAAAATGAACCACCCCAGTGAGCCTGGGACAAACCTGGCAGCAGAACAAAAATAGTAGAAAACTGTCAATGGTGAGACCCTGAGAAAGGAATTCCCTGGGGTCAGGGGGAGTTATGCATGAATAATAGCTGCTGAATTCAGTCCTAAGGGAGCTATGAGAAAAGATGTTCAAGAGAACCTGAGACTCTTAAACACTGCAGACAGGGGCCGATAATGTTCTCAGACCCACTAATGGGAACTTTGGCACTTATACTACAGACAGAAGAATGCACCCACATTCACCATCTACCTGAATAAGTTGTCACTGTTACAAAAATGAGGTCCATATTAATTACCTTGGGAAAATGCTTCCACTCCAGTTCAGGCATGGGAAAGCATGACAAGTTATCACCTGACTTTATTTAAGTGGGAAAAATACAAGTGAAACAACTTATTCAAATGCAGATGGTGTGCATATGATCACAAATGCTTTCACAAATACATATAGTGGCTTTTGTGGCAGCTTCTGCTTCTCCACTCTACCTCCAATCCACTCCTGTCTAACAGACCTTGAGAGGTGCACATATAAGGTCTATTTTAAACGCTCTATGCACAAGTATGATTCTGAAACAAGTGTAGTAAATAGCTTGGTATTAATTTGGCTTTCAGCTTTTGGCCACAGCTGACTTCAAACCACAAATTCAATGGTTTATCACAGGGCCTCCTCAAAACGATTCTGACACTGGCCAATCTGCGCCAATCATTCGCGGATCTACTCCTAAGGAACCGCATAGGGACCACTCAAGCTCAGTTCCAGGAACTAAGAGAACGCAGCCCTAGCCACAGGGATCCCGAACAACCAGGAGCTTTCCACCAGCTATGGGCTATTTCTGAAGTCTCGCGGGTGTCACCCAAAAGGCAATAAAACAAACAGGATTGTTATCAGCTGCTTTCTCATGAGAGGTCTGAAAGCAAACCTAAGTTGTATTCCGAAGGGGAGTGGGAGTTATCCTTCATCTAAATTATTCTTCTCGCTCTTCTAAAACATTTTTTAAAATTCTTTCAAGCTTTTATTTAAAAATGAACCCACGAAGAATGTCCACACGCTGAAGAGGAAAGTTTTGCTTCCAAGAACTGTTGCTAGTTCACGGACAGTGGTTCCTAGCGCAGCGCAGGGCCATCAGTCACAGCGCCAGAGAAGAGGGCCTTTCCCCGGACCTGTTTGCTGGCCTCTCTTGCTTGCCAAGGTGTGTTCATAGTTACATGCCCAGGGTAAAAAATTAACTTGCAGACCTTGCTGCAAAACTCAAGGGAAAAATATAATTGTGCGTGTGTGTGCGCGCGAGCGTGCCCAGAGCAGGCTTCTTTTCTATTCCCACCCAGTATCCGAGATGGTAGTTGCGAAAACTTGCTTTTCCCCACTCGATCCGCGGGTGACACCGCGGAAATCCAAACGCCCCGCGGGTCCGAAGTCTCCGCGGAGCTCCCCCAGGCCGCCGGTCCCAGACCTCGAGCCCCGAGGGCGGCCGAAGCGAGGTCTCCGGGGCCCTCGCAGCCCGCAGTGCACCCGCGTTGAGCGCCGCGGCTCTCCCTTTGTCCGCGGCCCCCCGCCCCGGGCTGGCGCCCCTCGCCCGCGCCCGCACTCACCCGCGCCGGGTCGCCCGCCGGCCCCGGCTCGCCGCGCCGCTCAGACAGGTGTGGGCGCCGGGAGGGCGCGCGCAGCTCCCATGCCGGCTCCGCGGCGCGACGGAGTGCGAGCGGGGCGGGCGGGCCGGGGAGCGGGGCCGGCGGCCGGCGGGTCCGCCCCTCGCGCCTCCCGAGCCGGCCCGCCCCGCCTCCGGCCTCGGGGACGCCGCGCCCCCGCCGCCCGCGGCCCCGCCCCCCCCGCCCCCGCGGCCGGAGCAGGGCTCGGGGCTGCAGGACCGCGGCGTGCGGCTCCGCGCAGGTGCCCCCGGCGGCTCTCGCCTGTCCCGGCATCCCCGCGCCAGCCCGCGCCGGTTCCCGGGGAGCCCCCGGCCGGAGCGAGCCCGGGGCCTTTGCTGGCGCCGCCGCCTGCTCGGAAAAATCAGGGCCCCGCACCCCCAAAGTCGACAGCCTAACGTTGGGGCTCTGGGCCACACCTGGCGCGCGCGGAACCCCTCCGCGAGTTTGCAGAGTTGGAGGCAAACCCCATGCGCCCTTCACCCCACGTGCACCTTTGAGAGTTTTCAGAGTCTTTAGGTGATGCCCGAGCTCCTTCCCGCTTCACCCAGCCTCTGGGGACCCCCTAGGGGCGGAAACCTGCCTCCCGGTGGCCGGACTGCCCATGCTTTGCATCCCCTCCGGCCGCAGTGCGGGGCCCGGGGTCGGGGCCCGGAGCGCGGCTGGGGCGAGGCAGCTTCGAGGGACCGGCTGTTTGGGGAGCCCACCGGCCTCGGCTCTTTATCGGGGCGCCAGCGGGTGGAGCCACCTCCTCGCCCAGTGGGCCCGCTTCCCTGACTCACTCCCACAGTTCAGCTGGAGAAGGTACTGATTACCCCTCCGACAGGTAAGGCCCAGGAGGAGGCTTTTCTCAGGTGAATAACTTGCCCCAATGCTCTAAGGTCACGTGTTTTTCCTCTAAGAAGCCATTTAGCCTGCCTTTCCTTTCTCCCACCCATGTGTTAGTCCCTCAGTCATGTCCGACTCTTTGCGACCCCATGGACTGTAGCCCCCCAGGCTCCTCTGTCCCTGGGATTCTCCAGGCGAGAATGCTGGAGTGGGTTGCCATGCCCTCCTGCAGGGGATCTTCCTGACCCAGGGATCGAACCCTTATCTCCTGTGTCTCCTGCATTGCAGGCGGATTCTTACTGTCTGAGCCACCAGAGAAAGAATTTCTCCCACCAAAGCCTGCTTTCAAAAAGAGGGGGGTCTCACAGGCTATTTCACACCAGTGTGTTAATGACAGACCCAAGGTGCTCGCGTTTGTCATCGATGTGTTTGTCACTGTTGATGATTCTCAAATGTGAAGGCACTATATTAAAGGCAAAAGTTACTTCAGCCTCCCCCCCACCCCCACTTGGCTTAAATTATTTTCTTTCAAAATGTTGCATTGCTAGCTATAAATATAAAGCCAGATATAAACTTGTGTTATAGCTTTTGAACAAGCCAGGAATAAAGCAAAAATGGTAAATCAAATATAAAGTCCTCCTCCCAGAACCATAAAATTTAAATTACTGATGTTTACTCAGTAGAACTCGCCTGCCAACTCAGGAGACAGACTTTGGATTTGATTGGATCCCTGGGTTAGGAAGATCCCCTGGAGGAGGGCATGGCAACCCATTCCAGGACTCCTGCCTGGAGAGTCCGCTGGACAGAGGAGACTCGTGGTCTACAGTCCATGGGGTGGCAACGAGCCGGACAGACGGAAGTGACTTAGCACATCTGCACTCACCTGCTGCAAGCATCGTGGATTTTTGGCCCAGAAGTGAGTACGTTTGGGTTCTGCGTGGCTCTGCCAGTCTTATGGTGTGGCCAGTGCCCTGTGTTGACTCAGCTTTCTCACTTCTGTCCTCCCTTCCAGCTACATCTCCTCTGAGCACACCCTAGGTTACTGTGATAGTTGACTTTCACTTGAGTTTCATATGTCATTTGAGATTAACTTTGTGTTATCCCTTTCTTATTAGTGTAGTGACTAGAGTGGTGACTGCTGGTGTGAAGGCAGAGCTCACAGAGGCACTGTGATCACAAGGCAATACTTGGTATCAGGCAGTTATCCCAGTGACGCAGAATGTGTTCATGTTCATTTTTTAAAAATCATAACTATGAAAAAATTAAATTATGGGTCTCCAAGGGTCTATAGGTCCTAACTGGAGAAACACCACTACCAGTCAAACACCTGACTTAGTAGAAGAACCAGGGAAGGAATTAGAAGGAGGAAAAGAAGGGAGAGACTTACAAAGTGCCTATTAATGCAAGGCGCTGCGCGTGTTCCCGGGGAACTCAGACTGGGGCTCTGTGACAACCCTGAGGGGTGGGCTGGGGCGGGAGGTGGGAGGGAGGCTCAAGAGGGAGCAGACATGTGTGTACCTGCGGCTGATCCGTGTTGATGTACGGCAGAAACCAACACAACTTTGTAATTATCCTTCAATTAAAAATAAGTAAAATTTTAAAAAGGATTAAAGAAAAGCAAATAAATAAATAAATAAAAAGCAAAAGCAACAAAAATCAATAAATCAATGTAAAAAAAGAGATGGCCACAGGAAGGCAATCCAGGAATGTAACTAAGAGCGTGCCAGTAACATTCAACTATATGAGTACTAGTTTAGGCTCTGCCACTTACCAGTTGTGTAGCTTTTGGCTTAACTTTTCTGCACGTCAGTTTCCTCTTCTGTAAAATGGTGACTACCTCATAGTATTGTTTGAAGGACTGGATAAATTAAAACACGTGAAATGCTTAGCACATGGCCTGACACGTAGTAAACCCTTTATGAATATTAGCTACTGTTGTATCTGTTATGCACAAACACGATGCCTTCACTCTGCTTTGGAGCACTGTACTTTAGGACCACCTCAATTGAATTTGATATTCACTGCTCATTTGCTTTGGCAGTTAAAAATATGTGTGTGTGTGTATGTGTGTGTATGTGTGTGTATACATGTGTGTATGTGTGTATATATGTATATGTGTGTATATATGTGTATGTGTGTTTATGTGTGTGTATGTGTGTATATGTGTATGTATATGTGTGTATATGTGTCTGTAAGTGTGTGTATGTGTGTATTTGTGTGTGTATGTATGTGTGTATATGTGTGTATATATATGTGTGTGTGTGTTTATGTGTGTATGTGTGTGCGCATGTATGTGTGTGTTTATATGTGTGTGTGTATGTATGTGTATGTGTGCGTTTGTATATTTGTGTGTATATATGTGTGTGTGTATGTGTGTGTGTGTGTATGTGTGTGTATATGTGTGTGTGTGTATTTAGCTCTGCCAGATTTCAGTTAGCTCTTCGTTGTGGCATGATGGACCTTTAGTTGAGACACGTGAGCTCTTAGTTATGACATGTGGGATCTAGTTCCCTGACCAGGGATCGAACTCAGGCCTCCTTCACTGGGAGTGTGGAGTCTTAGCTACTGGACCACCAGGGAAATCCCTGTCCTGGCAGTGTTTGAAATTCCATCATCACCAGTTTGGGGAGGTAGCATCTTACAGAACAGGGCAATTTTATTGCCATCATTCCGAGAGGGAAACTGAGGCACAGAAGGACCGAGAGCACCTCCCTCTCCTGTCTCCTGTCCTAGAACCAGCCTCAGGCCTCCTGCCCCTGCCCAGACAGGAGCCCTAACTACAGGTGACCTGTGCACCACGTTTGAACAGGCTCCACCCCTTCTCTTGTCTCCAGGAGCTGTCAGTAGTGAAACGGGAGGATGCTACCAGGCTCTAAGGTCATCCTGTGATTGCTGCGTGGACAGCAGCAGCAGCAGATCTGCAGAGAGCTCTGATTCAAAGAGCAATGCCCTGTGTAGCCGCTGTCCTCATGCCGAACCTAGATATTTGTTTTTATATTTGCCCCACTCCCCATCTGAAAAAAACATACCACCAGAAAATCCAAAACCCACATTGTTTAAGAACTCAGTTCAACTCCATAATCATAATTCTCAAATACTTTTCATAAGTATGGCAGCTGAGTTGTTAAAAATGCATTTGGGACCAGGCCCACACATTTAGCGAGTGCCCAGTCTGTATAAGGTGACTGTATAGCATCTGTGATAAGACAGTTGCTGTTTAGTTGCTAAGTTGTGTCCAGCTCTTTGTGATCCATGGACTGTTAGCCCTCCAGGCTCCTCTGTCCATGGGGATTTCTCAGGCAAGAATACTGGAGTGGGTTGCCATTTCCCTCTCCAGGGGATCTTCCCTACCTAAGGATCGAACCCATGTCTCTTTCATCTCCTGCACTGGCAAGCAGATCCTTTACCACTGAGCCACCTGGGAATGGAGGTAGGGAGGGAGAAAGCAAATATCCCTCATGTCAAGGAATTGATGCTTTGGACATAACCAAAACAAAATCAAACACAGGAGAAAGTGAGATGTAGGCTGGATCAGACTACAGCTAGAGAGCATGGAAGAGGGAATTATTAATTCCCACTCTGGCAGGTGCTGAAGTCTCCCAAGAGGTGGTAGAATTTGAACTGAAACTCAGATGATGAAGCCCTGAGCCTAACTTCAGCAAACATGGCATTGGGTTCCTCTGCTTCGTAAACAAGGCAATCAGTGGAAGAGTGAGGAGGGCAGAACTAGGCCTAGATTGTGCTAACTGTAGCTATGTTTACTGAGTGCATACTGGGTAGTGGACTGCATACATGTTAATTCAAGAAAACCAAAAAAGAGGAACTGTGGTTATCTCCACTTTGCAGGCAAGGAGACTGAGGTTCAGAGGGGTTAAATGGGATACCAGTGTGGACCATTAAGCAACACAGTTTGACTTCTGCCCCATCTGTTGTACTTTGTCAGCAGTTTCTGCCATGTTCTATTGTTCCCAGACTTGGGCATTTTCTTGTCCTTACCATAAGGAGGTTGATGAGTGACTGCCATCATTGCAACTCAAAACATCCTTTTGATTCTATCTTGCTTTTGTTCCAGGCATGCAGTCACTTAGTAATGACCTGTTAAGTGGCCTCCGTGCAGGAGACAAGATGGGACTGGAAGATAATTGGAAACCCAGGGTGGCGGGGAGGGGAGAGACCCAACACCAACTCTGTACTCGGTTCTATGCTGAGTTTTTAAAAATTGAAGTATGATTGGTTTACAGTGTTGTGTTAGTTTCAGGGGTGCAGTGACGTGATTCAGTGATACACACATATATGTTCTTTTTCAGTATAGGTTATTACGAGATCCTGAGTATAGTTGCCTGTGCAGTAGGACCTTGTTGTTAACTATTTTACGTATGTGTGTGTGTGTGTTAGTCACTCAGTCGTGTCTGAATCTTCAGGATTCCATGGACTGTAGCCTGCCAGGCTCATCCATGTATGGGATTCTCCAGGCAAGAATACTGGAGTGGGTTGCCATGCCCTTCTCCAGGGGATCTTCCCCACCCGGGGATTGAACCCTGGTCTCCAGCATTGCGGGCGGATTCTTTAACATCTGAGCCACCAGGGAAGCCCCATTTCATATATAGTAATGTGTATTTGTTAATCCTAATGTATCACTCCTGTGAGTGCTTATTTTTTACAAGGCCGTGACTCATATGTGGCTTCCACAATTTGCCAGTTTAAGAGGTGTCCATGAAAATTATTTCTAGGGAGATAAATTTACACATTTAAAAGTCATTTCCATCTGTTTTCTTCTATCTGTGGTGATAATACGGATCCAGGAGTTTATTCGGTGAGCGGGGGTTTCTGGAAGCGGAGTGAGAGACCACACACAGGCTTCGGAGGGAAGCAGGCATTCTCAGCCTGTAAATCCTCGCACCTAGCCTGGACTTCTCACCCGTAGAAAGAGTCTAGACGACCTACTGTTACAGTCTTTGAGTCTACAGCATTGTGATCCTGATGCGAGAATGACCCACATTTTTATCTTACCCCCAGCATGTGGTCCTGGGAGAGCAAAGAATGTGGACTCTGGAGTCAGACTGGTTTGGGCTCAGTTTGGAGTTCATTTAGTTGCTGGGTGAGCATGGGCAGGTGATGTGACTTTTGTGCCTTGCTTTTCTGTTCTATACAGTGGGGCTTATTTCAGGCTGTAGTCAGGACTCAGTGGAATAATCAGTACAAAGCAGACAGCACTGGGCTAGCATAAAATAATGAATTGATATTACATATTGTTATTACTACTACTGCAAATGCTTCATGTTTCAAACTTGTTGAATGAGTTGAATGAATCAATCGAACTGTTTAAAAGTTTTTTCCAGGCTTTCCAAGAAAAAACCATCTCAGGACATATGTTCAACCCTAAGTCTTTTGTCATAGGTTTGGTTTGCAGGCAGCGAAGAGTTTCCTGGTCCAGTCATCCTAATCCATTCATCCCTTAGTATCTGTAGAGGGTTGGTTCCAGGACCCCTGCAGATACCAAAGTCCAAGGGTGCTCAAGTTCCTTATATAAAATGGCATAGTCTTTGCATATAACCTATGAAATCTTCCAACACTTTAAATCATCTCTGAGCATGAGTGCTCAGTTGCTTCTGTCATCTGACTCTTTGTGACCCGATGGACTGTAGCCAGGATCTTCCCGACCCAGGGATGGAAACTGCATCTCCTGCATCTCTTGCATTGCAGGTGGATTCTTTACCTGCTGAACCACCAGGGAAGCCCAGGTTACTTATAATACCTAGTATAATGTAAATGCTATATACACAGTTGCTGATATATGGCAAATTCAAGTTTTGCTTCATGGAACTCTATGGATTTTTTTTTTTTTCAAAACTTTTGGATCCATGGTTAGTTGAATTTTTGGAACCCATGATACAGAGGGCTAACGGTACTGAATTTGGGAAGAGTTACAGGTTCAGATGGGAGCCAGGTTTGTAGTCTTTTTGTCTCCCCTTCCAGTCTCCCCATATGGCACCATCAGTTCATTTATTCAACCAGCATCTTCAACACGAATATTGTCAGGTCTATAAACCTGTCAGTGTTTTAACGGCAAAGCCAGATTTTTCTCTCATGAAGGTTGGATTTAAAATCTTTATGATAAAAAATAAAACCACAACTAGTTCCCATAATTTAAAAAAATGATAACAAAAAGAGCCAATAAAAATAATCTTTATGGCAGCTAAAGTAAATGTACTTGTGTAGCACTTAAAAAAAAATTTCCAGTTTCTGTTAAAAGTATCGATTGTTGTCATTGTTATTGTTCAGTCACTAAGTCATGTCTGACTCTCTGCAGCGCCATGGACTGCGGCACGCTAGGCTTCCCTGTCCTTCACTATCTCCCAGAGTTTGTTCACACTCATGTCCGTTGAGTCAATTACTCATTTTAAGTATTAATTCTTGGAAATATAAGTAATCAGTATACTAGGAATATAAATATGTGAAAGCATGATATATAAAGCCTTAAATATTAAGTAGCCGTAGAGCTGAATTGTCACGTTGGTACATATGGTAGCCTCAAAAGAAAAGAAAAAAAGCTGCATAGCAAAGGAAAGCTTTACTCTAATCCTACTTAAAAGAATATAGCAATCTAAAACTATTAGAAAAATAGGCTTTGGCGCTAGCAATTTCCTGTATAATGTGGGCACTATTCAAAACTGAAAAATTAGAAACATTTTGAAATAACTTTGTGTTTCTCATTTTCTCTGGTCAAATTCAGAAAGTCTCTGGAGGCCAGCTCTGGGCTTCTCTGATGTACTCTAACTTGTATACTGAATCTCATGAGCAAGAACAAAAGAGAAAGAAGTGTTTTTTCTTCCTTTAACTCAAGAGAAGCAGCAGAGCTGCTGGCCTTGAAATAGACTGAAAACAGCTTTTTGATATTCTCTTCTCAATGGGAATCTTATTAAAATTTCTTTCAAATCTCTATAGCTTTAAAAGGCACTTTTGGAAAATCCTTTTGTTTTCAACTCATGTTTGTATTTCAACTTATGTTTGTATTTATCCATGAATATTGGATTCTTTCTTTTTCTGTCTTATAAGGAGTAATCTTTTATGCGGTTAAGTATGGGGTCTGGATATTCAAATTCAGTGTCTTTTCATGAGGTTTCTCCTCTTTCCTGGCGAATTCTACTCATCTTTTAAGCTCAAATATCAACTCTACTCTGAAGGCTTCTAAACCCTTCATTGCTAGAATTGTAAATTCATACTCTGTGTCTTCAGAGAATTGTATTGAAATTATATCTTACATTGTAACTATATATTTACATGTTTAACCTCCAGTGGTCCAGAGCATCTCATGAGTGGGACCACTGTCTTATTCTTCTAGATCCTATGGTTTTCCTCTATCTTCTAAGAGAGCCTGGCTCAGGATAAAGGCTCAATGAATTTTTACTTAATAAAATGATTGATTGAATGAATAAGTAAAATTCTAATTAGCTTAAAACATAAGGTCTGAAATAATTTAGTTTGCCATCATAGCCACTGGGAGCAAGGCATACTGTATGTGAAATTTTAACCACTGGGGCTCTAATATTTTCCAGGATGTAAATCCAAATTTCTGTTTGATGCCCATTCACCATTCTTTCTTTTGGCTCACTTAAGACAAGAAATTCAATTTCTGCTTGGTGTGCTGGTTACATTTCAGTGCTTATGCTACAGCTACATGTTGGTCTTCTTAGGCACCATCTGTCTAAGACTTGGGACTGTCCCACTGACTTTCTGTGGAACCCTTTGGGTTGTGTTCTGCATCACACTGGATACCCTCAGGACTGTGGACTCTGCTTCTCAAACTGTATTTCCTCCCACATTCTGGAAGATGTTAATAGACATGGGGAAAAAAAGTAGTCAAATTATGGCTATTAGCATTTAATGCTCTGAGAAGTCCTGAGTGAAGAAACCTGCTTAAGCTCATTTCTCTCTTGACCCCATCTTGTTTG